ACCACACCAGTTCAGAACCTCCACATCCAGCATCTTCACCTGTATGATCATCAAAACCAAACTCCCTGACAGAGGATGCAACAGTTGGTTTGCACAACCAAAGAATTTCTAAATGAACTGTCTCAGAAGTTCATCTGCATGCTCACTGCCCTCACCAGGGCCTTGACCAGAGGCATAAATATAGACAGTGCCGGATTTCCACCTGGAAATACACACGTGTTATAAGACGAACTCATGGTTTTCTGTTTTTGCAAAACAGTCTCAGTCTATAACAAAATGATCTGCTTATTCTACATGAACTAAAAAACCTACAATTCAACTACAAAAACAATTTAGTTAACAAATAATAATTTCTTATTTTCTATAGTAGTTGACAGTGTTGTGCTAGTTACTGAAAACTAGTTACCGTTACTTGATTAAAAAGTAACTCGGTAAAAACATCTGGACTATCTGACTTGACTATCTTTTATTGTTTAGGGCTAAAATGTTTTAGTGAAAGGGAACCTCAGTTTGTGAAGGAATACTGCATGCTGCGCGCCGTTTTAAAACCTGGCCAAAAATAACGGAGTAACGCACCGTTTGGTAACAGTTACCAAGTTACTGAATTTAAAAACTAACGCGTTAGAGTATTAGTTACTGCCAAAACTAACAGCATTACTGTAACACGTTACTAATAATGCGTTACTGCCCAACACTGCATACAGATATGTAATGATGATTTCTGGGGAATATGTGTGTTGATGTTTTCCAATATTAACTCTGTTAATCATGTGATGAGACGATTTACAGCAGCTCGTTTAGGTGCAAAATCTCTCAAGACTGACGAGCATGCACAACTGCAAGCGCATATAACATAAAGCAACATTAAGACACACTGTTGGTGAAATACATATATGCCTAAAACTGTATGTGCGTGTGTGTGCTAACTGTAACTGTGCACTAGAGCCCGTCATAATAGTGTGCACTGGGGCCTACTACTACTACAACTACTTTACGCCACTGGTCTTGACTTAACTACAGTTCGTTGTCGTAACAGCTCTCCTTCAATGGCATCTGACACTTTGGAAAAATGTGTCTTCACAGATGAATCCCATTTAACAAAAAAAAAAACTGCATTTCTGTACCTTTAGTCATGTGAAATAATGAAATAATACATGTGAAAATACATAGCTCAGAGTGCTTAATAAATATATTTTTCTTTTAAAGAAGAAAAAATTAAGAGTGGCCTTTTACTGTGAAGAAAGTCTAAGAGTGATAAGCCTTTTGTGAACATGGAAAAAGTCAGAGTTATTCTATTTAAACTTGTGAAAATGGGAGTGAAAAGCAAAGTGTTTGTGTTATATTTTGGTTCAGTGTAGGAGGGCACAGCTTTACTCTTGTTCATTTCCATTCACTCACATTTTCTTTCATCTTACAGACTCAACAACATGAGAATTAATTGGAACAAGTAATTGCAGGCTTAATCAATAATGAAAATAATTGTCAGTTGTCCTAAACATCAATGCCATTCAGTCTCTGGTAGTGTAATAGTGACACACTAAATATTGATGGTGTAGAAACCTGCTCCTTTTCAAGTCACCTGACATGATTAACCTTTTTGAGGGCTGTAAAATTATCATATGTTTTGTAAAATGTTCAGTTAGCATGAATACACATGGTCTGTGTTTTCCATACATGATTGTGACCACCTTGATCTATTTTATACTGTATGTAGTTTAATATCACATACATTCCCATCTGCTCCAAAACAGCTACCATCGTTCCTGTACTCAAAATATCTGCAGTGTCTACACAGCTATCACCCTGTGGCATTTTCCCATTATGATGTGAAGTGTTTTGAGAAACTGTTTCTCCAACAGATCAAAGACATCATACCAGCCAGCCTGGACCCTCACCAGTTTGCATAAACAGATCCACAGAGGATGCCACCTCCACTGCCCTCCACTCAACCTTCACACATTTTGAAAATAACAACACCTACATCAGAATGTTGTTTGTTGATTTCACCTCAGCATTCACCACAATCACCCCCGTGAAACTGATTGGCAGGCTCAGCACTCTCTGCCACCCTCTGCCAGTGGATGTTGGACTTCCTCACAAACAGACCCCAGTCAGTTCGGATTGGCGGTCACACCTCCTCCACTCTAGTGTTGAACATCGGAGCCCCACAGAGCTATGTGCTCAGCCCCCTCCTGTGTGTTAACTCTGTTGAGAAGTTTGCAGAGACACACCCCTGTCTACATCAGTGGACCTGGGGTGGAGCAGTTGAACAGTGTTTGGTTCCTGGGAATCGGAATCACAGAGAAACTGACACGATCATTACGCATATCCATCAAGTGGCAACTTCCAGGTCAAGAAATGTAAAGGCGACACTAAAATGCAAAAAACTGCAGCTGTTTAAATGACCACTTGAGGCTGGCTTCAAGAGTGAGTCAGTCCTCACGCACACCCATGTTCAACTTCACAGCAGAAATAACATGTTTACAGCCTGGTACAAAAAGCAGTTTTGATTTCTATAGCTAATTTCTATAGCTAATTTCCCTGTTTATGACAACTGTGCAGGGGGTGAATTGTTATTAAGGCTTAAAGTTATACATAATTAAGGGCATGGCTGCTTTGACTGACGGAGGTGCTATCAGTTGACATGTCACGATCACAGCGACATATCTAACATGAATAAGCCATATAACCATGATTCAACCAGATTCACACAGTATAAGATTAACTGTTGCTATTTCAGTGTGTTTTCAGTCCATGAAAGTTCATTGTAATATTTTGGTCACCTAAAAAAGTCTTGTTCAGTGTTTGGTGGTACTAAAGGACCCTCTAAGGAGTCGGATGTTCTTTTTTTTCAAGTAAGAACATTTTGTTTGAATGGTTTTAAGCAGTTTTTTTCAGTAACAAAAAATTATCATTAGCATTATCACAGTTAACCATTGGCTGTAAATGCACTGCGCTAACCAATCTGAAAGCTAGGTTTCGCCTGAGCCACACTGCCTGCATGAGCAGCACTTGTAGGCTACCTCATTGAACTGCGCCAGTTTGTACGCCTTTGGTGTTCACACAGACAGCATTGCTGCTGCTGTGAGTACTGTATTTCTACACTTAGAAGCTGTTACTCCACAAATTCATGGAATTGTGCAAGCCACTGTATTGTCAACAACACAGTCTTGCAAATATTTAACAATTCAAGCCTTCTGTTAACAAATGAAGGGTTTATTACCAAAGAAATGTTGACAGAGGGCTTTAATTTTGAAACAAAAACAGGAAGTGCTGAGTGAAAAATAAATATTTATATTTCTTCACATCAGTAATAGATACCTCACATATTCAAACTGGAGTGAAAGATGGTATAATGTCACTATAATCATCAAAAGACCACTTTCCAAGTCTATTTTTGCTGAAAACTGCATGAGTCAAGCAGAAAAAATAGACGAGACTCCTATTCTCTAGATAAGTAGTTCCCAACTGATGGGTCATGGTCCAAAAGTGGGACGCCAGTCCATTCTGAATGGGTCGCAGGTGATTCGCAAACATGTGAAGCTTGTAAAAAACACACTATATTTTTAAGTGCAGTGAATTTCCAGCACAGTTTTTATTTGAAGTGCCATTTCTTGCTGTACAGTGAGTGACTAATGGACAGCTACTAAACAGAGACAGCAACTAGCTCTACGACATGGCCAAACGCAAGTGTGACGCTCAGTGTATTAAACTGTGTGGACCTTGAACTAGTGATTAAGGAAAAATCTGGACCTTATGATTGGACCAGTTGGGAACCCCTGATCTAGATGTTGCGCAGCTGAGCAGTGGAGTTGTGTCTCAGCAACAGTGCTCACATGAGCAGTGTGGATGCTCTAACCTGTGAAGACAGTCCCAAAATTAAAACTACAAGAGGTTCAGAGACACACACGCACTGCTAACGAGGGTAGTGTGGCCCGGGCATTAGGATTAGCACCACCAAAATGTCCAGATATGGTCATTTCTGGCTCCAAAAATCTAAGATGGTGACAGCAAATTTGAGGCTTCAAAACAGGATCCCACAAACCAACAGGTGACATCATGGTGGCTACATCCATTATATTTATTAAATTCTATTATATCAGTCCTGGTGAATAAAGCTCATAAGCAGCTGCATTTCTTGAGGAAACTTGCAAAGGCAAGTTCTTGTCAACTTTACAGAGTAGTAATAGTACGCATCCTGACTGGAGACATTACAGATTATCATGGTTTGTGCACAGCCCAGGACAGAAGGGCTCTGCAGCAGGTGATTAAAACCCACTGGCACCCATCTACCAAGCATCAGTGATACCAATGAGGCAAGCTGCCTGTTCTGAGCCCAAAGGAGACTATAAGACAATACCCACCCCAGCAACCGCCTGCTCACCCTGCTGCCGCCTGGCAAACGATACAGAAGTAGCCGCTGTCATACACAGAGGCTTCTTTCCTTAGGCTGTAAGACTCCTCAACTCCTCCTCCATGAATAATTGTTTGTTTCTTTGTTTTGTGAAGCTTAAAGAAACAACAACTTTCATTTCATTGTGTAACCCTGTGTTGTAGATGACAATAAATGAACCTTGGACCTTAACATACTGTGTGTTTGTTATTGAGGAACATGTCTTGATAAGCCTTTGACAGATGAGGTACTAAACTAAGAAACCCAAGAGATTTAAATAAAATGTTAAAGTCTGTGGAAAGCTCCTTACTCATGACAATCTCAGTTTAAAAGCCTCAGCAGATGCCAAAGTGTGCAGACTGTGAAAATGAACAAGGCAGCTAACAACAGATGCCAATTAAGCACACGGAAGCCAAAAGAAAGTTGGAAGCAGCCACCAAATTTTACACTGTTTATGTCATCAATTCTGGGCAAAAGCTTTGTGTGTTCATTCATCAGTTCCTTTGGCATCATTTTCCCTTTTGACAAATGAAGCATGCCGTTTAGTATGCAGCTGAAAGAGTGATGTGTTGGGTTGAGGTCAGTGTTTTGTTAATGCAATGATAACCTGCAGTAAATGGAGCATTCTCCCCCCTGCGGCCGTCTCGCCGTCGTCTTCACAGTCCTGCAGAAAGCTGTGCTTGTCCTCGCAGTAAATCCTACAACAGACAGAATCCCAGCAGCTTGGCATTAGCCTGGAGAGCACTGAGACATTTCGCTTGGAGAATGACGCTGTGACACCGGCAGCCTCTTCACCAGCAAAGTTTTTTTTTTTTAAAGTGGTTTTAAATGTCAACAGTAATGACCACCCAGGCAGTGCATGAGCAGCTCGACATCGACCTCATTAAACCGTGCTGACAAAAAGTACGCACACATGCAGGCGTGAGAAAAACAAACACACAGAGAGACATATACACACATCTAGTCACATAATACACTATGCTGTCAGGAAGCCTTCATTTTCTCTGGTGCTTTTTTTGACCTTTAATGCAGTGATGTGCCCTTTAGAGAAGATAGACAGGCCTTGACTCTACATATCTCATGTTCTTCTCCACTAATGAGACACACTGTAACAGTAACCTCAGAGTGTTGCATGATTTGCATAATGGCGCCATGACAGATGTTAGGTCAGCTATATATAAATATATATACTGTATTGTATTGTATTGTATTGTGACATCACTGACCTGTATGCATAAATGTTATGAGTGGCACTCGCAATCTTCTTGTTCTCACACAGCTTCTCCAGGACCATTTTAACCTGCAGCACACAACAGGTGAAACGAAGAACATCATGTCATATTCCTCACTTTACTCTCAAATGCTTTTACATAAACTCTGCTGTAAAAGGAAACTGCTGACACAAGGATTTTATTCTGCGCTCTATTTTAGCACGGTGTTTCATGCTGAAACCTGTGGATATACAGTGGCATGCAAAAGTTGGTCAAAATTTCTTTTACTGTGAACAGTTAAGTGAGTAGGAGATAAACTGATCTCCAAAAGGCATGCAGCTAAAGATTAAACATGCTTTTCAACATTATCAGCAAGATTACTGTATTATTTTTTATTCGTACAATTTTAGAGTAAAACAAAAAAGGGACAGGAGCACCATGCAAAAGTTTGGGCACCCCAAGACATCTGAGCTCTCAGACAACTTTTACCAGGGTCTCAGACCTCAATTAGCCTCTCAGGGCTTTGGCTTGTTCACAGTCATCGTTAGGAAAGGCCAGGTGATGCAAATTTCAAAGTTTTATAAATACTCTGACTCTTGAAACCTTGTCCCAACAATCAGCAACCATGGGCTCCTCTAGACAGCTGCCTAACATCTGAACGCTAAAATAACTGATGTCCACACAGCAGGAGAAGACTATATGAGGATAGCAAAGTGTTTTCAGGGAGCTGTTTCCTCAGTTTGTCATGCCATTAAGAAATGGCAGTTAGCAGGAACTGTGGAGGTCAAGTTGAGGTCTGGACAACCAAGAACACTTTCCAAGAGACCTACTTGTAGGATTGCTAAAAAGGCAAATCAAACCTCCCAGTTGACCGCAAAAGACCTGCAGGAAGATTTCAACTGTTTTACTGTGCAGCCACTCCTGTACAAATATGACCTTCATGGAAGAGTCATCAGAAGAAAACCTGTGTCCTCACCACAAAATTCAATCACAGAAGTTTGCAAAGGAACATCTAAATAAGCCTGATGCTTTTTGAAAACAAGTCCTGTAGACTGATGAAGCTAAAATAGAACTTTTGGGACGCAATAAATAAAAGTGTTTGAAGAAAAAAGGGTGCAGAATTTCATGAAAAGGACACCTGTGCAACTGTAAGACAGGGGGGGTAGATCGATCATGCTTTGGGCTTGTGGTGCAGCCAGTAGCACCACAAGCATTTTTACAGGTAGAGGGAAAAAGGACGCATTAAATTCCAGCAAATTCTAGAAGCAAACATCACAACATCTGTAAAAACGCTGAAGATGAAGAGAGGGTGGCTTCTACAACAGGACAATGATCCTAAACACATCTCAAACTCCACAATGGACTACCTCACGAGATGTTGGCAGCCTTTGAGTCCCGTAGGATCAAATCAAATCAAATCAAATCAAATCACGTTTATTTATAAAGCACATTTAAAAACAACCAGAGCAATCAGCATAATGTAGTGCAACAAGGACCAATTAAAGACAATCAAATGCCAGGGAATACATATTAGTTTTTAGTTTTGTCTTGAACATAACTACAGTGGAGGCACATTTGATAGAAAAAGGTAAAGCGTTCCACAGCTTGGGAGCGGCCACCGCAAAGGTCCGATCTTCCCTGCCCCTTGACTTTGAACGAGGGACAGCCAGGAGCAGCTGGCAGGGGCGGGCTGGCCATAGGGAGGTTCGGGAGTATTCCTGAATGGCCGGTCTGGCCGAACCGGCCGGTGGTCGTAACATTTTTTTACCCCATAAAACGCAGCCGCGGTTGACCGCAGCAGCCTGCCCTCACAGCCGCAGGTGGCAGTGGCACAGAGTGGAACGTCAGACCGGGTCAATCTAATATTTTGCATATTAAGGGGAGATACGAGCGGTTAGCAAGCACTGCCTACATGGACCTATCAACCGGGTTGTAATTTTCAGGCCCATTCAGCCCGAACTCTAATTTGTGTTTTTGGATGTGTTCAGGGCACACAGAACATTAAAGGTAGCCTATCAGCAATGTTACACCATACATGCATAAAGCATTAATCTGCTTTATCAACTAAAAATAAAATCCATACTGGCTGACCAGAAAAATGCACAAACTTCTTTATTGCAAAAGAAAACATAGCCTATTTCAGGAGAGAGTCTGTGTTCAAAGTTAAAAAGATAATATTAGAATATATAGGCTATACATCCTGTTTTCCTGTTCTGTATCTACATTAATATATAGCCATTTTTACCAGCTCAAGAAAAATACATTAAAGTGAGTAATTCATTTACTGTGTGTGTGTGTGTGTGTGTGTGTGTGTGTGGCGCTTTTGTTATGTTGATTTTTATATTGTATTTGTGTTCTAACACTGTGAATTCTTTGCTATAACGTTTAGCATTGTTGCTGTTATTGTTATTATTAGCTGACAAGGCCAGTGTTAGTCGTGGAGTTGATGCAGAGGGACAGGATAATGCCAGTCATAGGAGTGAGGAGGAAGAAGAGACAGATGAGGAGGGACAGGAGAAGGAGGAGGAGGAGATGGAAGAGGAGGTGGAGGAGAAGAAAGAGGAAGAGGAGAAGGAGGAGGAAGAGGAGGAGGAGAAGGAGGAAAGTGGAGCAGGAACCACCAAAAAACAGAGCCAGGTACAGGTGCAGTGTGCAGGACTGGCCTCTCCAAATCAAGCTCCCGGGCTGAATTTCAACCCCAGCCCGCCCCTGGCAGCTGGTCTGAGGATCTGAGAGGTCTGGGGTTGAGGGGGCACGGGAGCTCAGAGATGTACCAGGGTGCCAGGCCATGTAGGGATTTGAAGACAAACAACAGGATTTTGAATTCTGTTCTGAACTTGACCGGAAGCCAGTGCAGAGATGCCAGGATGGGTGTAATGCTTTCTCTCTTTTTTGTGCCGGTTATTAGTCTGGCAGCGGCATTCTGCACCAGCTGCAGACGGGACAGAGAAGACTGGTTGATGCCAAAATAAAGTGAGTTGCAATAATCGAGGCGAGAAGAAATTAGGGCATTAGTGACGGTTTTCAGATCGGTAAGTGAGAGGAATGGTTTGACTTTGGTGATATTTCTGAGATGGAAAAAGACAAAATGATCCATGTTATTCACTTCACCAGCCAGTGGTTTTGGTGTTTAGGCTGATGTGTTTTTTCAGCACTCTGTCCACAATTTTCATAGCTTCCTCACCTGAGTGCTGAACGTCCCGACCATCCCGAAGAAGAAAATAAGAAAATACAGGCAGATGGCAGAGTCTTTGCAGATAAATGAGCTGCCATACACTTCATGAGTGAGAGGGATTACTGTTGTTGAGTCTATACATATACATATATTTCTATACATATATACATATATTTTTTTTCAGGAAAATCATGCATGGTACACCTGTGAGAAAAAGGAAGTGGCTTCAAAACCAAGTCAGTTTGAGAGTGATGCTGTTTCTGTGCAGATGAAAAGAAGTCAACATGCTGTCTGATGCTGCTGACTAATGCAGAAAAACAAAATTAGTCACCTGTTTGTGATGGAAAATCCCATTAGAATGTCTAAAAATATATTTCGAGAGTAAACTATAACCTAGCAGATTTTAGGGAGGCCTATCTCTGTAAGGGCTTCAATAATCTTATTATTTTATTATGAGTGAAAACTCGTTCTATAACTTGAATAATAAAGACAAGTTTAAGCAATGATAAATGTGTTATGTTGACTTTACAGTGTGTACACCATGACAATGTTTCTGTATTTGTGTATTTGTATTTTCTTGTGTTCCTGATTAATCCTTGAGGATTTGTGAGGCCAATGTGTCAAAGTAACACGCTGCATACGAGGTCAGCTTACCTGCAGACACGTAATAAATCACTTACAAGTACAACACTGCTTCAGAATTAAAAAGATTGACCCTCTGAAGAGCACACTGAACCTCTCTGTGGCCCGCCCAGTATGTGCAGCCATGAAAAGAATGCTAATGTTAAGTTATACACATAAGTTTTACAAAACACAAAGTTGAGTGAAGTATTTCCCTCGGCTAGGGACTTAACTTTCACTTCAGTTTTATGGAGCTCCAGAGTTGTTAAATCTGAAATAAATTAATAGGATATCATGAAACACATACTGACATGAATACATTTTGTGCAAAATATAAATAACTCAATAAAATATCAGTTAATTTTCAGACAGCATGAGCACATCTCCAACCATGCTTGTTTCCCCTGAGTCTTTTTCTTTTATTTCTTCTTTTGTATTACTGTTTTTGTAACTTTGCATTTCATGTGTTTATTATCAGCATTATTATTATTATTATTATCATGTGGAGTTATGTTTTTTAGTTTGTGTGCCGAGCCGTGTGTTTTTGTATCTTATTCATGCTACTGCAGCTAACCAATTACCTCTCCTGGACAAATTAAGGCCTTGAACTTGAACTTTAAAATTAGGACTGTAAAAATAATGCACTAATTTGAATTAAATCACACAAAAAAAATAAATGAATAAATAACGCGTTTAAAAAAAATAACGGATTAATTGTGCTCAGTGATTTACCCTGTGTGCTGTTGAAGGCCACAGTGGCTGTGCATTTGAATTTCAATTTTATTAGCACACACGATTTGATTAAAAACAAGTATATAAAAAAACATGGCAGGGATTGCGCAGGAGAGGTAAGAACCCCTCCCCTCTAGAATTTCAAATCTATTGCAAACAATAATTTCTCTCCTAAACATAAGGAATATATATAATGTAATAATAATAAGGAATTTTCTTCCATTGGAGTACTTCAAGCCTGAAATATCACCTCAACACAAAGCATTTCACAGCACAAATTGATGTATGTGATTAATTCAGATTAATTAATCACAGAGCATTTTATTAATTTGATTTATTTATTTTAAGCGGTTGACAGCCCTTCTTAAAATATTAGTAAATCTTAACCCTTTTAAATAAAATGTTATCTCATTATTTTTTATTTAATCAAAGAACATTTTCTTTTTATAAAGACATTTTTCCAGTTACACCTCTTTTTCATGACACATTTCATTGACTTTCCCCAAGACGTGCTCTGACTTATGTTGTTTTTTAACTTCCTGTACACACTGGAAGTGACATCACATTGTGTTTAACGTATGAAAATCCCAGCAGATCAGCAGTTTCTGGAATACTCTGGCACCAACAACCATGCCACGTTCAAAGTCACTTAAATCACCTTTCCTCCCCATTCTGATGCTCCGTTTGAACTTCAGCAGGTCGTCTGTCTACATGCCTTAATGCATTGAGTTGCTGCCATGTGATTAGCTGATTAGCTATTTGCATTAACCAGCATTTGAACAGGTGTACCTAATAAAGTGGCCGTGAGTGTATACACATATTACATGATTTATTCATGTGCTTATTTCATTATTTAATATCTAACTTTTTTGGGCTCCATACAGTTTATGTATCAACACATAAATAATGCTATGGTGGATTAGAAGGCTCAAAACTAAGTAAATCTCCAATTTGCTCTCAGTGAAGCAGATCTTAGTCGTTTTCTTAATTATATATTCGAATACTTTCAGACTATTACAGGAAAATATGTAAATGTTGTGCAGGTCACAGTCGATTCAGTTCACGTGCTCTGTGGAGGACACTGCGTCTGTAAATATTTTTGTCTAATAGCACTTCACAGCAGGTGGAAGCTTTTAAGATGAGTCAGTATGTTACTGGAGAGCAACAGAGTTAGAACGCAGGAAACAGATGATGCCTCACTTTGTTAAAATGCTGCGTAAATGAACACATTTATATCTCTCTCCTCTTCCAGACCTTCATGAAGTCTCTTTCACTGAATCTCATATGAGCTGTTATTTGCCGTTTGTCCTCTTTATCTTTGTTTACTGTGTTGTGTGGTAATGTAAAAGATAATAATGTGTCATTCATGATTTTTACCTGTCTGGGAGTCACCACAGGTGCTAAGTGAGGCTGGAAGGTACTGCGTCGGTCTGTGATGGTATTTCCATGTTTTATGGGAGGTAGCTCTTCATCTGCAGGACAAAATGTTACACAGCAGAGAGATCAGTTTTATAACAAGCTGTGTTTAATGTCGACCACTGAATCCAAGTTTATCAAACTGTAATGAGCCGTACCGTTTTTATGATCCATGAACAGATGTGCATTCTCTGTGTTAAGCCTGAGAGTCCTGAAGTCTGGTATGTCATCATCGTCATCATCATCCACTTCTTCCTCAGCTGTCATATTCACCTTCTCTTGGTGATCCACTGAAGCATGGAAGAAATGCAAGGGCAATTTTAGGCAATGTAATGGGGGGGTCAGTGTGAGGACAGAGCACCAAGGGTGTAGGTTTTGTTTCAGCATTGAGGGAGGACACAAGGTGGACTGTGAGGCCCCTGGACACAGATATGCAAAGGGCCCCACCACCTTTCCTACGTAGGAGCAAGACACACATGCCCCTTTTACACTGTCTGTTCAAATCGGGAATATTGCGTCTTTATACTGCCTCGCCATTCTGTGTGATACACTCTAGGTGATACAAAGACAAAGTAATGGGCCTCTGAATCAGTAAAAAAATTGAAGATTTTGCCTAAAATAAAGGATGATGATTTTTCAGGATGAATAACTGTCTGTGGCTTCATCTGAGCAGGTAAATGACACTATGGGGCTGTAGGCACACTATCAATGAACATTTGTTTCAAACTCAAAGAAGACTGCTCCAAGGATGACCATTCTACAGTGTTTTTTCCATGAAAAGATCCAGGCGGAGCTCCAAATGACAAGTCGGTCACTCAGCTTCAAAACAGTACTGTCAGTGATCAAACAACACTCAGCCAGATTCTAACATTGTAATGACTGAAATCAGGCGTGATTGTGATAGCTGATGTTGTTTATGACACAGAAACACCATAAAATATCACCAAATAGAGCCATATGAAATATGAAAGTTATGATCCCACTTTCTAGACGGTATATCTCAGTCAAAAATAGCGGTAGGAGTGAGACTCTTACCTTTTATAGAACAGCTACGTCCCCACTAACAGCTCCATAAGATCGCAAGTAATCCTTTAACTTTTCCCGTCGAAAAACGGCATGACATGACTTGTCACCACTCATCGCGATTTTGGACTATGTGTGTTTAGGCTGCTCTGTTGTGAAATCCATAAGAAATAAAAGAAAAACGATGTTATTTTTGAAAAGTCGAGAGCTTCCTGAATCCGGCAATACCAAACATCACATGGTTTGATGACGTAGTGCGCCTGGGAGATACCATTTAACAGAGGAGGAGGGGAGTGAGGACGTCGGTGTCCTGGCGGAGTTAGAGAGATTAAAAAGCAGCTAATAACAGTTAGCAGCTAACTCAAAGAAAAGAACAACAGTTGAAAATGTCCGCAAATTGGGAAAATAATGAAATTTGGGAGCACCTTACCCTCCTAACAAAGGAAGAGATCCGCTGCCATATAACAGAGAAAGTAAATAATTGTTACTGTCATGTTATGCTTTATTAAGTGCTGTGGACGCACATGTATGTAACACGTCAAGCCCATCACGCCTCTTTTGGTTCTGCAATGCCAGCGTGCTTTTGAAAATCACACTCTGGAGCAATATGATGCAGCTGTCATTTGGTTCTGTGTAAAAATGCAAAGGAGACGTAAAGAAGGGACTTCCTAGTGGCCCTATAGCACGATCTCTGTGTACAAATGGCTACAGACTATGTGGTGGTTCTGCAATTTTTTGAGGTAATTTTGTGTCTCAGTGAGGTAATTTTTCTTTTTGTGTCTCCTTGTGGTTGTTCTTTGTCTCTTTGTAGATGCTTTGCCCATTTTGTAGTTACTTTTTTTTTGCCCATTCTGTGTCTCTTTGTAGACACTTTCGGAGTCTCTTCCTCGTTGGTATGTGTTAATTTGACATTTGACATGTTGCAAGTGAAGGTTCCTTGGGCCCCCTGACACTTTGGGCCCCTTGGCCTGCACCCAATAGGTCCGTTCTGTAATCCACCCATGGAGACACATATTAAGCATGGTTCTAGGGGTTGTCACTCAGGAAGTTTTCAGGCTCTAACACACACAACTCTTTTTATGCACCAATTTATGATGCAAATGTCTTTATTTATGCAAAGGGAAACACAAATTCAGGTGCCAGATGAAAATTCAAATATATAAAAACATAATGCAGTAAGGCACCTAGGTATCTGTATTGCTTTATAAATATTTATTCTCCTGTAGATAGACTTTCTAACTTAATGTTATCCCTGCAGAATCAACACACGTGTCGGAAAAATAAACTCTTCTGTCCTCTTTTGTTTGTGGCAGAATCTTTTTTAAACGTGTATGTGGGGGGTGTTTTTGTTTTGTTTATTTGCTTACATAATTTGTTTTTCAGACATTACACATGTGTTTCTTCTATATTTACATGGCATTAAACCTTTCTCATTCATTAGTAAACATTTCTTGAAGCAAGCTATTCTTAAAAAACCTTTTTAACAAATTATGCTTTTTAAAAGCAATGGGGGACAAAATCAGCCACTTCAAAAAGTGCTGGGGACACATCTCTAGCGGCCCCAGTGTCAATGAAACCTATGAGGAAATGTTGTGTTTTAGTTTGGAGAAAAGAGACTGTGAAAATTAATAAATGCACATGGTAAAAAAAAAAAAGAAGCCTGAATTAGCCTCGAGGCCTTTTTTCATCATTAGTCCCTATGACCAAGGTGTTATGAAAGGCTTCTTAAAATACATCAAAAACAGGGCATTGGTTAACAAAACAAAAACACAACAGCTTTCTAAGAAAAGATTTTTTGGAAATCTCAAACCTGGTGTCTGTAAAGGTCGTTACTGATAGGCTGACCAAACGTCCTCTTTTGCCTGGACATGTCCACTTTTGATGTCCTGTCCGGGGCGTCTGGGGGGTGTTTATAAATTGATGATAATGTCCGTTTTTCCTTGTGTGTGTGTGTGTGTGTGTGTGTGTGTGTGTGTGTGTGTTAGAGTGCAGCACGGGTCGCATATTTCTGTCCGAATTCTGTTGTGTGTTCTGTCATTCTGTTGTGTTATGTCCGAAACCGAACCGAGCCCAAAATTATTTAATGACTAAAGCACTGAGTTTGTGTTACACAGTTGTTATGGTTACAGGCTATTTAACAGGCCGGACATGCTCCGCGGAGAGGGAGACCTCCGTGTTTGAGACGAGAGCGGGCGGCGGGTGGTCCGAGGCTTCCAGCGAGGGGAGAGGGAGAAACAAACAGCCAGTGTGTGTGTGTTCTGTTCAGGTGTTGTCACGTAAATAACAGTCCCCAAGCAATAAACAGGACAGACAATAGGATTTTATTTATTTTTACACTACATTTTCACTGAAAGCTGACCGAATCCGACCCGAGCCCGAATACAATTTATACATTTTTGACCGAACCCGGCCCGACCCATCGGGTAGGCCTGCCGTCGGGACCCGTCGGGCTCGGATCAGGTAGCCACACTCTAGTGTGTGTATGAGTCCCCTATCTATAGGGGCCGATCTGAATTTCTGTCTTTGAGAGATATTATTTTGTAATATAACTGAATTTTCTATCCATACATATAAACTTTAAATATATTAAAATTATAAGGCATCTTTGAGTAAACTGCGAGTATCATTTAAGTAGGCTATGTCATGGCCGGACCAAGTGTCCTCTTTTTTGGAAATCTCAAACCTGGTGTCTGTAAAGGTCGTCACTGATGTCTACAAACATGGCAGCTTGTCATTAAAATGACACCTACTGAGCAACTTAGTACCATCACATGACCTTAACATCGACACTAAGATGGTTTCATGACCTATGACACCAAGACAGACAATTCATAATGGATGACACCAGTTATTAGACTGATACTACCTTTGTGGGACCAGTGAAGACGCCGATATGATGTGTAGCAAGGATTACACAAACCGACTGATCAGAGTGCCATCATTAAATTAACTGAGAATGGTTTTAGCTGAGTGACTTCAACATATTTGTTCCCTTGGACAGTTAACCATGACAGATACTCAGTTCCACATTTGCTTTTGTTTTTTAAGATTGGTTTCCGTTTTCTTGTTTGTTTTTGTTTTTTGATAGGAAAGCTGACATGCAGCAAATGGCTGCAGGCTGGAAGTGAACTCACGCCGCTGCAGCAAGGACACAGCCTTGGTACATGGAGCTCCCGCTCTACCAGGTGACCCACTGGGTGCCCCCAGTTACACCTTTGTTAACAACACACACAGGGAAAAGTGCCAGTGCAGAAAGTGGCTGAGTTCATAAGTTACTGTTGTATAATGTCTGGTATCCACTGACAGCTAATGCAGTGGGACTGGATACAAAAGATCCGCAGGTGAGCTGAAAGTAGTGCTCAGTTGTTATGGAAACAAAGGTGAGCTGTGTGTGAGCGCAGCCTAAATCTGTTGATGGACCCAAATGTGCTAAAAATAAAGTTAAACTATAACAATGACCTTGTGAATTTTCTTGCTTTCTTGCTTGTTGGATACGGCCATATTAT